TGAAGATTGTTATTTTCTTGTTCTTGAGGTGTAATTCTTACAGAAGGTTGTCTTCAACAAGTGTCTCAAATCCTTTTTTACTTCCAGTAAGCAAGGTAGTATAATTTGCATATATGGCAGATTGTTGAGAAGTCTTCCTACCTGATATCACATTCTTCTTCATATAGTCCACCTTCTGTAATTATTTGCTCAGCATAACGATTGAATTGATATGGAAAAAGAAGAACACCCTGATAGATCTTTCTTGATTTTAAACCATACAAGGTTCGCTTGTTCTGTTCTTGGTGTACATTATTGGTGATTTCCACTCTTTCCAGTGTTATCCGTAATTTATTATGATATCCACAGTCAAATGCTTTTGCATAATCAATAAAACATAAATAAACGTCTTTCTAGTATTCTCTGCTTTCAGTAAGGATCTATCTGATGTAAGCAATGATATCTGTGGTGCCATGGCCTATTCTAAATACAACTTGATTTTCTGGCAGTTCTTTATAGATATTTGTTCGATTCATGTTTGGATGATCTTCAGCAAGATTTTATTTGCTTATATTATTCGTGATATTGTTTGATAATGTCCACATTTTGTAGGATCATCTTTTTGGAAGGGAATGGGAACAACTAAGATCTCTTCTGGTCAGCTGGCCAGGTTGCTTTCTTCTAAATGTCTTGACACAATCCAGTTGAGTGTGTCCAGGGCTGCATCTGATTGTTGAAACCTACCAACTGGTATTCTATCAATTCCTGACATTTTCGATTTTCTTCTTTCTTCCTTCCTTCCTTCCTTCCTTCCTTTCTTTCCTTTTTCTTTTCTTTCTTTTTTTTTTTTTTTTGCCAATGCCTTTAGTGCAGCTTGAATTTCTTCTTTCATTACTATTGTTTCTCAGTCATAGGCTACTTCCTGAAGTACTTCTGTGACAGCCATTTGTTTGGGGTACAATGACTGTGTATTTCCTCAATCTTCTTTTGATGCTTCCTGGATAATTCAAGATTTTGCCCGTAGACTCTTTCAGCACTGCAACTTGAAGCTTACATCTGTTCTTCAGTTCTTTCCTCTTGCGAAATATCAAGTGTGTTCTTCCCTTTTGGTTTTCTAATGCCAGTTCTTTCCACAGTTTTTTACAATACTATACTTTATTTTTCTCAAGCTGGTCTTTGACTACTTTTGCTCGTCTCTTTTACTTCACCATTTCTTCCCTTTGTTTAGGTATCTCTGTATTCTGGTTCAACTTTCAGAAGTTTTAGTCTATTCTGCCCTCTGTTTTAGTCTTGTCTTTCTTCCCTATCTTTATTTTCTTCATGTCATCCTTGATGTCATCTCACAACTCATCTGGTCTTCAGTCATCAGTTGGTGCATCAATTCTATTATTGAGATAAATTTTTTAAAATCAAGTGAGATTTTTGTGGATTTATTTTCATTTTTTAAACTTCAGTTTGAATTTGACAGGAGTTAGCCCTTGGACTTGTTTTGAATGCTGATATTGAGTTTCTTCATTGATTCTTTCCACAGATGTAGTCAGAGTTATTCCTGCATTTTCTATCAGATGAGGTTCATGTGTATAATTGTCATTTACTTTTTTTAGAAAATATATTTGTAATTAATAAATGAATGATGATCCAAAATTTTATCATTTAATCTCCAGCTTCATTTCAGTCATCAAGTCTGTATTTTTCAACTGCCAGTCTTTCTTGTTTCAAACTTTTGCATTCCAGTCATCAGTTATTATTGATGCAGCTTGTTCTCACACAGCTGAGATGTCTCCAAAGCTTCAGCTCTACAATTTGCCCCAGGAATAGAAGCAGTTGAAGGTGGGCCTTTGAAGAAGAAAGAAGTCTACTAGAAAAGCCTTAAACACCAAGATGATCAAGCCATTAAGTACCTTCAGCCTGTCAGTCAAAAAAGTACAATCTTGGTCAGGTTTTCAAACATTTTACCTGTTATTTTTCTTGATATTGAGGGAGTAACTGAAAGTATTTATACTGCATTTGCACTTTTTGTATTGTTGGGAGATATTTTAGATTGTCTTCCTTTGGATCAGTGTGACACTATAGTCACTTCAGTGGAAAAAAGATTGCTATTTGTAAATCAAATGCCTTATGTTCTGTGGGGAAAATTACTACATATGTGCAATGATCTCCTTAATGTTGTTGTTGTTGTTGTTATGTGCCATCAAGTTGCCTGCAATCCATAGCAGCCCTATGAACAGCTCTGAAACCTGCCCTGTCCTGAGCCAGTCTCACTAATTCACCAATTTCCCAGTTACCATACCATTCTATCTCATCTGGGGTTGTCCTCTCCTACACTGTCCCTCCACCCTTCCAAGCATGATGTCCTCCTCCAAGGATCAGTCTCTTCTGACCACGACCCCAAAGCATATGAGACAGAGCTTCAAAATCCTAGCCTCCAAGGAGAGATTTGGTTTCACCTTTTCCAAGCCAGACCTATTTGTTTTCTTGGTAGTTCAAGGTATGTTCAAGTACCTCTTCTTCAGCACCACAGTTTGAAGGCATAGATTCTTTTTCTATCATCCATAGTCATTGTCCAACTCTCTGAAGCATAACTAGTTAATATTGAAGACCATGGACTGGATTAGGCACACCTTAGTCTCTAGAATGACATTGTTGCTTTTCAACACTGTGGAAAGGTCCCTGACAGCATATTTTTCCAATGCAGTTTGTCTCTTGATTTTCTGACTATCAGTGTTTTAAGAGTGTTCATTGTGGAGCCAAGCAGGCTGTAATTGTTTGTTTGGACTTTTCCCCACCAAGGTTGTGATCTTTTTTTTTCCAGATATTTTTTTAATTAAGATTTAAATGAAAGTTTATAAAGAATTTGGATTTCCAGTCCTTCATTGTTGTATATTTTCCTCCCTGCCCCCCATCAGTTTTTTCTTTGGGGAAAAAAGTTCTTTTATTGTTATACAGTCCTGTCTCCCTCCCTCCTCCCCACTTTACTATGCAGCTCTTATTCTGGACTCTTGTCATGCCAATAATACCTAATTATATATTCCTTTTATACAGTTCTCTCCCTTGTCTGTTTGAATGCCATGTAGATTATTTATCCCCTCTTTTCTTAGTTTCCCCCTAGCCCCCATGACAGTCTTGTTTTATAACAGTGGCATAATGCCATATTTGTCTTTCTGTGACTGAGGTATTTCACTCAGCATAATGTCCTCCAGGGTCACTCATTTTGTATAATAATTCATGAGTTCCTTGTTTTTCAATGCAGCATAGTATTCCATTGTGTATACCACAGCTTCTCTAGCCATTCCTATGTTGATGGGCACTTGGGTTGTTTCCAATTCTTTGCTATTGTGAACAAAGCTGCAATAAGCATGAGTGTGCATATATCTACTTAGGTGGCAGTTATGGTTTCTTTAGGGTATATTTCCAGTTATGGAATTGCTAGGTCAAGTGGTATTTCTATATCTAACTTTTTGAGAAAGCACTATACCACTATACTGCCTTCCAGAGTGGTTTTACCATTTTATACTCCCACTAACAGTGAATAAGGGTTCTAGTTTCTCTACAACCTCACCAGCATTTCTTCTTTGCTGTTCTGTTAAATTTTGTTATTCTTACTGGGGTGAGATGATAACTCATAGTTGTTTTGCAGGCTGTTAAGTGCTAACAACCTCAATATCTTCTCCATCTACCATGGTGCTTTTAATTGATCCAGTGGTGAGAATCTTTGTCTTCTTAATGTTGAGCTTCAAGCCATACTGAAATCTATAGTCCTTGACCTTCTGAAGTAAGTACTACTAGATCAGAAGGCTAGCTAGCATTTTCAGGTTCTGTTTCCTGCCTCTTTCACTTTGATTTTGTGGACAGTGTCAGGCTGGTGACATCGTTCATTTGTGAACCCAGGCAAAGAGAGGGCCCAGCACTATCCCGCCTTCCTCTGCCCTCCCCTCAGCATCCATGTCTTCAATAACAGGGAAGATTCTCTTTGGCATTGCTCATCTCACTTGCCCATCTCAAAACCAGTTGTCATGGCTGAGGGGGTGGGATTTTCTGTCCAATCAGTGATTGAAGGATTGAGGAGGGTTTGGGAAGAGATAGACCTTTACAGACAGTGCATTGCTCAGCACAGCGTTCGTGAAATATGCTTCCACAGTGGGTTAATTGGTATTGTTACTTTCACTAATGGCTTAGGAGATACTGATCCAAGGAAGGATAGGGGATTGGTAGAGAAGGAGAAGAAAAACCCAATCCAGTGTCCTGGAGGTCAAAGAAGGGAGTGATTATTTAATCTGGAATGTGAGGAAAGATTGAATTTTTTTTGCATAGTGGGTACCAGGATTTCTGTGTCTGTCACTTTGAGAGGTAGTAGATGTATTTTTCTTCAGTACTAAAAGATACCTTGAAAGGGGAGGCACACTAAAACTGTTAATAGAAAGATAAAATAAAATGTTGGAGAAGAATGAAGGCTGGTGAACCTGTCTCCTGGTCAATTTTGGTTCCTTCTCAGTCACATTCAATTTAGTTCCTTTTGCTGTACTGAAAAAATAAAAACATCTCAGTATCATAAGGACAAATACTGTAAAATGTGACCATTATTGTAAAAATAGAAGAATAACTAGTAAAACATTTCTGGGAACACAAGGAGGGAAGGGATGGGAGTGGAGGGGTGAGGATGGGTTTGGACCAAATCACAGGGTTGCACAGTTTGGTGGGACATGGTCAGGGGGAAGGAAATGGGAACAACCTGGGTGAAAAGACAGGGTAAAGATGGGCAAGGTCCAATGGTGATTAATTTTATAAAACGTGATGCATGACAATGATTGTATTAAACACAATATTAATGAAGAATAAATAATGTGACACACAATGTATATGACCTGTGTAAGCAAACCAATTAAATAAAGGAAAAGGGGGACCCAGAACACAGAGGGATGCACTGGACATCGTGGTGGTGAAATTAGTGGAAGTGACACATCCTCCTGTACTGCTCTCTATCACTGTTTTTCACTCTTTCTTTGTGTGTGTGTGTTTTGCAGTTACATTGCAAATCAGAAAAGATTCGAAATCATCAATGAAGATGATGTTGAAGCTTATGTGGGACTGAGAAATCTGTGAGTACGCAGACCTTGCATACTTACCTCAGAGATCTTTCTCTCAGGAGGCATTCCCGACCAGTTCTAACATGTGTATGAACTGTGTGCTTTCCAGGACCATCGTGGATTCTGGACTCAAATTTGTGGCTCATAAAGCATTCCTGAAAAACAGCAACCTGCAGCACATGTGAGTAAAAGTTGATGCTTTTGCTTCCCAGGACCTCGTTTGTCCAATGTTTTTCTTTCCTCTGTTTATTTTCCTTCCTTTTCAAGTCTAAATCCCTCTTTATAAAAGTTAGTGTAGCTGTGATAATGGCTAAGAAACATTAGCTTTGATTTTGTTAGATTTCTGAATAGCTACAGAGGGGTGCTTAGAACAGCCTGTTTATTCTCTTTCATGAATTTCTGGGCTGTTTCCATCTTGGACAGAACAAAAGGCCAATGGCAAAGACTGATGTGAAAACTATGTACTGGTACAACGTCCTTGATTCTTTTCTTAAAATCAAGGCATATTCCCTGGAAGACATCACACTAGTGGAATTGAAAGAAACTTGCTTTTTCAGGAAACAATAAATTACTAAACATTCCCCTCCTACACACAATAGACCCTCAACCCTTTTTGAACCTTGATTGTTCCCAAAGCTGTCTGTCATGAACTAATTTAAGGGCAAGGAGGGGGGTCGTCAACTATGGGGCATATCAAATGTGCAGATGTTGTTGTTCTTGTTGTTGTTATGTGACATCAAGTTGCTTGCAACTCATAACGACCCTATGTAAAAGAGCCCTAGACCCTGCTCTATTCTATGCCAACCTCACTGTCTCTGACACACCTGCTCCCATTACCCCAATCATTGAATCGATTCATCTCATCAATGGTCTTCCTCTCTTGCACTGTCTCTTCACTCTCCCAAACATGATGGCCCTCTCCAAGAAATGGTCCCTCCCTGCAACATTCCCAGAATATGTCAAATGAAGCTTCAGAATCCTTGCCTCCAAGGAGTAGCCCAGCTTCATCTTCTCCAGCACAAACCTGTTTGTTCTCCTAGCAGTTTATGGTATATTTAACACTCTTTTCGAGTGCCACAGCTCAAAGGTATCAATTCTCTTTCTATCATCCTTATTCATTGTCCGGCTCTCTGACACATACACGCAATTGTGAAGACTATGGCCTGTATCAGGTGCACCTCAGTCTCCAGCCTGACATCATTGCTCTTCAGTACTCTGGAGAGATTCCTGACAGCTGACTTTCCCTATGCAATTTTCTCTTGATTTTCTGGCTGCTGGTACTAAGAGTGTTGATTGTGAAGCCAAGCAAATGAAAACTGTTAACAATATCAATCTCTTCACCATCCATTATTATGATGTTGCCAATTGGCCTAATGGTGAGAATCTTTGTTTTCTTGATGTTGAGCTTCAATCCATGTTGAAGGCTATAGTCCTTGACCTTCTGCTGCAACCACTTTAGATCTTCCTCAGCTTTAGAAAGCAGGGTTGTGTCATCTGCATAATGCAGGTTGTTGATGAATCTTCCACTAATCCTGATGCCACATTCCTCCTTGTACAGCCCAGCATCCTGGATGATCTGTTTTGCATACAGATTGAAAAGGTATGTAGACAGAATACATCCCTGGTGGACACCCTTTCTAATTTTTGAGCCATGAAGAGTCTCCTTGCTCTGTTCTGATGACTGCCTCTTGGTTCAAGAATAGGTTTTGTATTAGCACAATCAAATGCTCTGGGATTCCCATTCTTCTCAGAGTCAGATACAAGATGAAAATATAGGTTTCCCCAAATCATGTTGAGTTGACCCACTGTTGACTAGAATCAAGTGGAAATAGAAATGGTGAGCACTTATAGGCACTAAACGGTGTCACGTGAAGGCCCTTCGCTAATAAGGTACAATATCTCGCAACATCTCTAGGATCAGATTACACAGTACCTGTGGAGAGTGCAGTACATATCAGGTGGCTAACCAGAAGATCAAGAGTTTGAATCTGCCACTTGCTCCAAGGGAAGAAGTAGAGTAGACTCCTCCCGGTAGGGTTTACAACCTGGCCGACACAGTGGAGGGTTGCCCTGGGTTTGGATCGATTTGATGGCAGTGGGTTTGGTTTGTCTTAGTAACCTGAGTTTTTAGGGTGCATTTCTGCAAGAGGATTGTTGTTGTTGTTAGTCACTGTATCTATTCTGACTCAAGGCTACCCACAAGGCTTTTGGGGCTGTGACCTCACAGAATAGACAGCTGGTCCTGCCTTCAGGGGTGGTTCTGGAAACTACCACATTTTTAACTAGCAGTTGAGCACTTAGCCATCTGATCTACATTTCCTGGGGTAGATTGAACAGTACGTAGAGACTATATGTTGATATTATGGAAAACCTTAATTCCTCAAAGCCAATATCAGACCCTTCATTTTGCAAGAGACTTCAAAATTGAAGTCACCTTAAAAATAAAGTCTGTAGAATTCAGAGAAAAACATTCAGTAACAATATAATAAAACTCCAAGGAACTTTATTAACATGTTTCATTAAATACTTTTGGCCTCCGCTCTGTAACTGGTTTGCCTGCACAGATCTGAGGTCTGTGTAGATCCTGGGAGCATAAACAAGAGAGAAGTTGGACAGAAGAAAAAGGCAAAATGCTGTAATGCAATCACTTCGTTGTAATTAATGGCCTTGATGGTTAAGCTCTGGCATTTTCATTACAGCTGAACTTAGATTTAAATTACTCAACAACCACAGATTTCTGGCTGCTTTGCCACACCATTTTTCTAATTTGTACAGTCAGCCAGGGTTAATTATAGTTTTTAAAAGAGACTCATTATTTTACTACACTTCTGATATTTTTTTACACTTTTTGGTGTGTGATAAGTACCCAATCTTATGTAAATACAAAGATCACTACATGATCTACAGTAGAATAATTTTAATGGCCTTTAGTGACTGGTGGGGCGGTCAAGAGTGCAAAGCAAAAGATTGATGGTTTGAGCTCCCCAGCCATACGGTAGGAGAAAGGGATCACATTCTGCTTGGCAAAGATTTGCAGTCTTGAAAAGCCTACTGATCAGTTCTACTCTGACCTGTAGGGCTGCTGTGAGTTGGTGGTGAGTACATGACACAGTCATACCTGTGGCTCTATGCACAACTTTGAGTATAGTCAAATTGCTGTCCCTGTGTCTCAAAGATTCTTTTCAAAATAGGAAATAAAGTAGGTGGACATATTCTGCATACTGAAATCAAACTGCCTGTGCCTGAGTTGGTTCAGACTCACAGTGACCCTCCATTGGGTCTTTTGAAGCTGTTACTTATGATGAGAGGAGATTGCCCATCCTGATGAGCTGCCGTGAGATTAAATCATCAGAGATGTATGTAAAGCCTTTAGTTTAACAGCACAGTTCTCTACAGACCACATCACCAGAGCTCCTCTTTACAAGGCAAAAAGCCAACCATTGATCAAACTGCATAAAGTTTATTGATATTTTTCATGTTACAAAACCCATTGCTGTTGAACTAATTCTACCTCATGCAGATCCCAAGGATATCAAGCTGGACAGGCAGAGGGTGGGTGAAGGAGAGGAAGACCTTCAGCCAGATAGGTTGGCACAGTGACAGCTGTAGTGGTTTCTAGTGTGTCAGGAAGTGTGAGGATGGCACGAACAGAACAGGGTTCAGATCTATTCTTCACAGGGTCACTAAGAGTCATGCTCAACTCGATGGCATCTAACAACAACAACAAGAAGAAGGAGATCCCATGTTTGTGAGAGTAGAAGGTTTTCAGTGGCTGATTTCTGGAGGGAGCTCAGGGACCATAGACAGTGGGGAGTTGTGCTTCTAATCCAAAGGCAGCACTTCTCTGTGTATTCGAATCTCAACCTACAGATGGGTTTGTTGGAAATATTTTTGTTATGTTTTGTTTTGTTTTGTTTTACTAATTTTTCTCTGACAGCTACAAGGAGCAGAATGTCACTAATTGATGGGAATCATTCTCATTTGTCAAAATATTAATTGAGCCATCTACTTTGAAGATGGCAGGGAGGGCAGAGGGACCAGCATGCTGTGGGACCTACCAGCTCTTTCTAGTGAGGACTCTAGAGAATGTCTTAGTTCCCTTGATTTTTCACAAGTGCTCGTAGCACAAATGTCTACCAAGTGGGGTTAAGAAGCTGACAAAGAAATGGTACAGAAGGTACTTTTCACTACCTTTGAGGTATTTTGATTACTTCTCTGAGTTCCCATAATAGAATAAGGGGTGTGGGCGAGAACATCATCTTTTACATCAGATTATAGGAAAATTAAAATAAAAATCTCTCTCTAGTACTACTTTCCCCTCTCCCAGGATCAGGTTCTTTTAGTGACGCCATCTGTGTTGGTGAAGAATTAGGAATTGCAAGGTTTTCAATCACTGACTTTTTTGTGGATTGCCAGACAAGGTCTACGGTGTCTGTGGACTCACTGAGTTTTCTGCATTTTGGAAGCTGTTGGGCATGAATCCACCTGACCACACAGGGGCGCCATTCCTTCCTGGCCTTGTCCACGTTTGGAATCTCATGGTGGCTCTCCAAGCTCCAGTGATAGGGCACTGAATTCAGTTCTCAGTGCCCAGCCCCTGAGAATCCAGCCACTGTGAGAAAAGACAGTGCCTACATTTTCCACGGCCTTTTAAGAGGTGCTCATTAGCTCCTTAGCAAGGTTCTAGAATCAAACAGGGAGAAGATTGCGGATTTTTACCCTCCCTTCCTCTTTCTTGGCTTTTGGCCCCAGTAATAAGTATGGTTCATAAAACTCATCTTGTTCCTTGGCCCATAACCCGGCTCTGTGCCGGCTGCTGGCAGCTTGACAGAGGCAGCTGCACCCGAGGCCGGCAGCCTGTGAGCTGGTGGGAGGGCCCTTAAAATGGCCTTCCTCTTTCTTTTTGCCTCTCCTCTCCTTTTTTTTTTTTTTTTTGTGGGGAGAGGAATCTGGGTTGTGTTCTTTGTTTTTTATTTTGTTTTGTTTTTCATTTTCCATCAGAAAGATAAGAAAGCCTAATGAAAATAAAAACATCTTTGCACTGAAAATTTTGACAGTGACTTCTCGATTTTAGTGTCTCCCGGTGCAGCCCATTCTTTCCGCATTCCAAAAGAATAGTCATCTGTGGGCATTTTTTTACAGACTGCTGGTGGGTTTTTTCCATATGGGTGAGAACTTTATACTCAATGTGAAGTGTTGAGGGAAGGGAGGCAATTTTCTTGTGTAGGTCGGGATTGAAATTAGTGGAAAGGGGCTCAGTATAGAATGAAGCTGGGAGTGGACACGAGCATTCCTGAGAGATGACGTGCTTGGGCTGGCATCTTCTTTCTTTATCCACTGCCCAGCTTGGCTTGGGCATCTGTTGATAACTTAAGCCAGGCCCATGTGCAACACAATGAAATGTTGCTTGGTTTTGTACCGTTTTGACCACTGCAAAACTAAGGAACTGTGTTAGTGCTGTGGATTAAGCATTAGGCTGATAACTCATAAGGCTGTGGTTCTAAACCACTACCTGCTCCACAGGTGAAGAGGGTGCTGTATGCTTCTGTTAAGATTTATGGCCTTGGAACTCTTTGAGGGCAGTTCTACTCTGTCCTGTGGAGTCACTGTAAGTCGGAACTTACTTACTGACAGTGAGTGATCACCAGCTTAAAGGTGGAGCCTTTCTGGAGATTTGAGTCCAACAGATTTGCAGCCCCCTCAGGAGGAAGATGGGCATCTCCTCTCAGGAGATACACAGGCTTGGGAAACCCACTGGCAGATCAGCTGTGTTCTTGTTATGTGGTGTCATGTTGGCTAGGACTCATAGCAGTCATCCTGTCCTGTGTCACCCTCATGCTCTCTGCCTCTCTTGAGCCCATTGCTGCAGTCATTACGCCAGTCCATCTTGTTGAGGGTCTTCCTCTCTTACTCTGACATTTTGCCTCTCCAAAGATGATGTCCTTTTCCAAAGACTGGTCTCTCCTAACAACATGTTTCCAAAGAATACTCTGGTTGCACTTTCTCCAAGACATGTATGGTCGGCTATGAGTTGGCTCCAATTTGATGGCAAAGAGTTTTGAGATTCAGCAGCCTAAGGGACTCATCTCCCTTTCAGCACTATACCAGAGAATAAACTGCTGTGATCCATGGGATTTTCCTTAACTACTTTTTAGAATTCATTTTCCAGGCCTTTTTCTCTGGTCTGTTTTCATCTTGAGTCTTCACTGAACTCTATCCTCAGTGCATGACTCTCCTGTTTGAAACACTGGTGGCTTAGCCTACAGCATGATAACACAGTGTGACAAAATGACGCATGTAAAGTCATACACTAGCTCCTAGGTTTAGCCCTTCTGTAAAGATACTTTAACTGCAGGCTTTGCCTGGCTCATGCCATACATTCACCTCAGAATGATTGTCACCTTCAGATGTTAACTGACTCTCTGCCCAGCATTCCTTTTCTTAGCCAGGAATTAGGAATTGAGACACCTAATAGCTTTCCTTTGCTTGTTAGAATGTGACTGCTTTCATAAAAATGATGGGTTTTGCATTCATGTTATTGATTATTAAACACATACCTACAGGTTGAAGTGTTGACAACTTTCTTTTTAAAATAAACTCAGAGAGTGAACAAATTCAAGATGAGTCAGTTGTTAGGATTATGGTTCTGAATTTCCCAACATTTGGTTCCTAGGTGGTACCAATGTTCTTGGCCACTAATAAGTTGGCTGGAGGTTTGAATCTACCCTCAGAAGAAACATGGTGATTGCCTTTGAAAAACCATCCATTAAAAAACCTATAGGGTCCCAGTGTGTCAGAGTCAATGAGATCACGTTTTGAGTTAGTTCCTGTGGCACTGACCACTGAAACTCCCATACACGGAATAAAATGACAAATTGAGAGCATGCCAGTAAGTTCAAGTTGTTTTTTTCAATCATAGAAATGATATCCTTTTATTGTCTGGTTGGTTCGAGTTCCAAAATTATGTGGTGCTGAAATAGTTTATGATAAATATGGCCAAATTCCTGGTCATCTGATTTCTTTAGTTATAATCATGGCATTATCCAGTTGTCTAGAATTCATGTGTAAGTAGCTTCAGCACATTTAACTAAACATTAGGTGTTTTCGTTCCAACAGTTATATGTTAAGTCCAGTTAGTATTCATATGTGTTACCTAAAGTCAAAATTCGGCATAGTGTATAGGAAGTTGTGCTACTAATCGAAAGATTGTACTTCTTCTCATCCAAAGATTGTACTTGTCTGTGGTTCGAATCCACCAATGACCCAGAGGGAGAAAGCTGAGACGTCTCTTCCTGTGTGATTTCAGTTTTGGAAACCCAGTGAAGGGAGAGCTATGAGATGGTTCTGACTTGATGGTGATGAGTTTTAGTTGTAAAGTGTCTTTTTTCTCCACTTGTTTTTGCTATAGTGAGCCTTCAAGTCAGACTGACTTATAACTGACTCTCCAGTGGATTTTCAGAGGCTGTAAAAGGAACAAATGGAGGTTGTTTATTTTTCTCCCATGGAGCGGGGTGGATCCAAACCACTTGCCTTTGGGTTGGCAGTGCAACTCCTTACCATTAAGTCATCAGTAGCTATTTAAAAGTTCAGAAACCTCAATTAGGTCTCTAACTTGGCTCTGAATCCTGTGGAAAATAAGCTTTTGTGTGAAAGAAACATTAAATAAACAATATACTGCTAAAAGGTCTGTCTTGGAGAGGGCGAAACCAGACTGCTCCTTGGAGACAAGGATTTTGAAGCTCTAGCTCACGTACTTTGGGCATGTTGCCACAAGGGACCAATCCTTAGAAAAGGATATCATGCTTGGAAGGGTGGAGAGACAGCATAGAAGAGGAAGCCCTGGAATAGATGGATTGACTCAGTGACTGGGATAAAGGTGGTAGGCATATTGGAAACAATGGAATTGGCCAGGGTGTGCTGTGGCAGGGTTCAGAGCTGTTGTATGTAGGGTCACTGTGAGTCGCGAGCTACTCAATGGCACATAACAACAACAACAACCCCTTTTATCACCTGTATAAATCAGAAATCTAGGTCTGGTTAGATAAAAAATTAAGGTACCACTTGACATGAGAGTATTAGATCTAAGAAAGATCTTCAAATGATCAAACCAAATTATCAAAACCAATTATTTAAAACGCTTTATTTGACTACTTTAATCTTAACATGCAACATTTTAAGCTCACATTTAATGCTTTTTATTTCTTTCAGCAACTTCACTCGAAATAAACTGACAAGTTTGTCTAGGAAACACTTTCGTCACCTTGACTTGTCTGAACTGTAAGTAATGATTTTGTGTGATACTTGGGGGGACATTTTTCAAAGGAAAGAATAGCTATTTATTTGTTTTTAAAATTAGTAATGTTGTTGATCTATTTTTTATCAAAGTTATTGAAAAATACTTTCTCAAGTTTTGACCTCATTTAGTAGATATTATTTGATGGCTTATTTTATTCTTTCATGAAAATAAAATTAGTCATTATCTGGGAGGCTGGGCAATATGAGGAGAAATGTGGCATCAGGATTGGAGGAAGACTCATAAACAACCTGCATTATGTGGATGAAACAAACTTGCTTGCTGAAACTGAGGAGGATCTGAAGTGCTTGCAACAGAAGGCCAAGGACTGCAACTTTAAATATGGCTTGGAGCTCAACATCAAGAAAACAAAGATTCTCACCCCCGGGCCAATAGGCAGCATCATGATAGATAGTAAAAAGATTGAGATTGTTAATAGCTTCAGTTTGCTTGTCTTCACAATCAACACTATTGGTATCAGTAGTCAGGAAATCAGAAGATGAATTGCATTGGTTCCTGCTGTCAGGAACCTCTCCAGAGTGCTGAAGAGCAGCAGTGTCAGTTTGGAGACTCAGGTGAACCTGATAAAGGCCATGGTCTTCACAATTACTTGCTATGCATCAGAAAGCTGGACGATGACTAGGGATGATAGAAGGAGCATTGATGCCTTTGAGCTGTGGTGTTGTAGAAGTGTACTGAATATACCCTGGACTGCTAGGAAAACAAACATGTGCATCCTTGTTGTTGTTGTTATGTGGCATTGAGTCGCCTGCAACTCATAGCAATCCTATGTTTAACAGCCCTAAACCCTACTCTATCCTGTGCCAGTCTTATTGTCTCAGATACATTTGTCTTTACCCCCATTACCCCAGTCACTGAGTCAATCCGTCTCCTTGAGGGTCTTCCTCTCTTGTGTTGTCCTTTACCCTCCAAAGCATGACATCCCTCTCCAAGGACTAGTCCCTCCTTGTAACATGTCCCAGGTATAGCAGATGAACTTCAAAATCCTTGCCTCTGAGAAACAGCCTGATTTTACCCTCCTTAGGACAAACCTGTTTGTTCTCCTAGCAGTCCATGGTATATTCAGTACTCTTCTCCAGCACCATAACTCAAAGACATCAATTCTTCTTCTGTCATCCCTAGTCATTGTCCAGATTTCTGATGCATAGAAAGTACTTATGAAGACCATGGCTTGAATCAGGCATACTTTAGTCTCCAGACTAACATTGTTGCTCTTCATTCAGTACTTTAGAGAGGTCTCTGACAGCAGACTTTCTCAATGCAATAGATCTTTTAATTTCCTGGCTGCTGGTACTGAGAGTGCTGATTGTGGAGCTAAACAAACTGTAGCTGCTAACAATCTCAGTCTCATCAATCTCATGATGCTACCAATGGACCCAGTGGTGAGAATCTTTGTTTTCTTGATGTGGAGACTCAATCCATATTGAAAGCTGTAGTCCTTGACCTTCTACAGCAAGTGCTTCAGGTCCTCCTCAGTTTCAGCACACAGGGTGTATCATCTGTGTAATGCAGATTGTTGATGAGCCTACCTCCAATCCTGATGCCACATTTCTTCTCATATTGCCCAGCCTCCTAGATAATCTATTGTGCATATAGATTGAAAAAGTAGGGCAATCGGACACATCCCTTGTGTACACCCTTCCCAATTTTAAACCATGCAGTGTTTCTTTGCTCTGTTTTGATAACTGCCTCCTGGTCCAAGTATAGGTTTTGCATGAGCATGATCAAGTGTTCTAGGATTCCCATTCTTCTCAGAGTTAGCCAGTTTGTTGTGATCCACACAGTCATAGAGCACTTTGGATACAATACAGTGGATTTTGTTTAAATGGAGTGTCACCTGAATGAACTTGACCTGCTTTTTTTTTTTTATAAAAGTCTGTTTGAAATCAAATAATTAACCAAATTAGAAGATGCCGTCAGTCAATAATTAGTTAATAAGTTGCAGTGGAGTTAATATGGTGAATGTTAGCAGTTGCAAGTTAGTTGGGAATAAACTAGAGTTATTTATATTTATAACACAGCACTTAAAAATAGTTATAGTTGAGTTCATTCTGGATTATGCCAGTCTCACGTGTCACAGTCGAGCTGCACTCTGGAGGGTTTGCAGCGGCTGCTATTCCAGGGACGCATTGCAGATATTCCTTCTGTGGCCCTGAGACCCCCAGCTTTCAGGTTGGCACTGCCCGAGCCTCTGAGACCCTCAGCTTGGAGCCCATGAATTTGTAGCTCTGATCCTTCACCTCTTAATTCTTTCTGTTGAAGAAATGATACTTCTAAAAAAAACTCTTTGGTTACCCATATGCATAGAAAGCACAGGAACGTTCTGAATCAGTGCTATTAAGGTGTTTGTGGATCTCTTCTGACATGTAGTCCATGGCTGAAACCTGCTCTGGTGTGGAAAAGATACTTGGAGGTAATAAAATGGACACAAATTAAACTGAGCTGCCAGGATCACATATTCCCCAAAGAAACTCCTGAAAAAGTCTTCAGGGATCCCTGCATTTCTTAGAACCCGACCAGAAAACCACAGGGTAAATGATGCTGCAAAGCCCAGGTCCTGTCCTGACGGAAATCTTAAGTATTGTGGTTAATGCCAGACAGAGCCTATGCAAGGATTTTAAATGGCCTCATTTAAAGGCTCATTACCATAAGTGGAATTCATTTTAAATAGGCCACTGAGTATTATAAATAAGCATTTAAAGATTTTTTTTTCCTTGTGGTTTTTGTTTTCTCCTTGACTGCTTCCTCTTTCCCGGGTTGCAGGGCCCCGGGTGTCCAGGCGCAGTAGCTCAGCCCTGCCGCGTTTCCTCCTGGTATTCTCTCCCAGGCTAGCTCAGTACTGGGTACCCCCCTCAGCTCTGCCCTTGCTGTCACATGTCCAGAAGCTGCGCGCGCGTGTGTGTGTGTGTGTGTGTGTGTGTGTGTGTGTGTGTGTATGTGTGTAGGAAGTAGAGAGCTCCTCCCAGGTTCTCTAGCAGTTACTCCAGCTGACTCGGAGCCATGGAACCCATGCTTGTCCTAAGCAGAAAGGGCCAAGTACTGTCTCGTGGCACCCAGGCTCTGTTACTGCCTTGCATTTGAGTTATGATGAGATTGTTCTGCCCCACCAAAGTTTGAGCTGATTGGATGACAATACTTGAATCTCTATCTTGGCCAGAAAGAGTGTGATAGAGTTTTTGGAAACCTACCTTTGGTGTCTTACTTAGAATGTTATGTAATAAAAAGGATAAATTTGTTATAGTACCTTGTTCTCCCATCTCATGGGACATATATTCCTAACGTGGAGTCCCTGGGTGGTGTAGGGGGCTTCATTTCAGCAACTGGCCTCAAGATTGCTGCGTGGAATCCATGGAGAACTCTTGAAAGGCTGGCCTGCTGATGCACTTTTGGAAATCCTTAACTCTGTAGAGCCCAGTTCTACTCTGACACACACGGGACAGCCTTCAGAGGGAATCAACCATAGGAATTTTTAAAGAAAAGTTTCTCTGTTACTGCCATTTGTGGCTCCTCCCTTGTTTTCCATACAATTTTATAAATTTTTCAGACTTTTATGTCCTAGTCCCTGTGTGCGAGTGTTTGCACATAAGAAAAACTCATAGGTATTCAGTAAATAAATAGTAAGTAACATCAGGCTATGAAAGGAGATTCCAAGGATTATTGTCATAAAAGAATTCATGATGTAGTATTTAATAAACATTAGAACAAAGAGAAGAGACTGACTCAATTTCCATTGTGTTTCTCTAGGATTCTGGTCGGCAATCCATTTATGTGCTCCTGTGACATTATGTGGATCAAGACCCTTCAAGAGACCAGGCCCCGCCCAGAAACTCAGGATCTGTACTGCCTGAATGAGAGCAGCAAGAACATCCCCTTGGCAAGCCTGCAGATCCCCAATTGTGGTAACTTTTTTTTTTAAATTTAGATTTTTTTTTTTTTAAATATAGGCTGGGTTCTAAATATTCTCCATATATTAATTCACTGACTCTTCCTAACAACTTTAAAAGGTACATGTTATTTTATCAGACAGGAAAACAAGAAATTAAATAACTGGTCAAGATCACAAAATTAGTAAATAAGGGAACCAGGATTTGCACTGACAGTTGACTCAAAGGCCCAAGTCCTTCCTTATATCATATTGCAAATAAACATAGGCACAAACCGTTCTTTATAAATTCCAAAGATCCCCTCACTTCCTGAGGCCTACCCATGGACTACAGCGTCCTACAGTATCCAAGTTAAGAAATTTTCAACTAAGAATTTCCTTTCCATCATTTCCCCCAAGTCCACTCCACCATGCAGACTTCATTCTGGACTCCTGTCATGACAATAATGCCTAATCATATATCCCTTTTAAACAGTTCTCTCCCTCATCTGTTTCAATGCAGTATACATAATTTATCCTTTCTCAGTCTCCCTCCAACCCCAATGTCAGTCCCACTATTGTAAAACGGTAACTGACTTTTATATCATCCCGTTATATTTGCTATTTGCTGTTACTGATTTTGACTGCCGTGGTATGCAGAGAACTCGAGGGGATGGCCACAACCCTGATGTTCAGCAGTGTGCTGTGACTGTCCTGTAACACAGCGTTTGTGTGCAATGTAGAGAGAAAAATCAGTTGGCAACAACTTAGCCAGATGTTCTTTGCAAGCCAAGTAGTAATTCTTAATGGGTGATTTTAAAGTACATAATGGAACAAAGAAGGCAGTGGTGATTGCTTTGCATGTTTGTTCATCTATCTGTGCATATAAAAAAATATTTGTTCATTTGTATTTGAATTTGAAAATAAACTAGTAGAGGGAAAAAAAATTTTTTTAAAATTGTTAAGTGTAGTATTTCACTGTCTGACTCTACCCTTGGTGGATACCGGGACATGCTGAGGTTTTTAGAAGACCTTCTGAATAAGGAGCTCTAACTCTTGCTTATTCTTACTGAAAACTGTAATAAAAGTGAGATAATGTTTGAGTCTTACCCTGAATAGGTAATAATGATGACCTTTAGTCTTGTGATTGAGGTGGGAGGCTAGGTCAGAGTAAATTCCTAGTTTTCCCTGATTTGTCAATTTTAAATTTTTAACAAATTTTTACTTATTGAAAGTTATAAATTGATAATAAATGGTTGATCAATTAGAATAGAATTGTTACTCATGCAAAGATTTACAATTCATATCAACTGATTTTCATAGAGTAACATAAAACAGCACTGGTGAATTGACAAATTCCATTTTCTATCACTATACTGTTTGTTTTTTCTTTTAGTTTTCTTTTTTAATAAGTACTTAAAACTACTTTTTTATTATACTAGTTTATTTACAAAATTCAAAAATATTGTTTTCCAGAACAGATTCTTCCAGTTTCCCTCACCCATCAAACTGTACAATTCCATGATTAATACCTCCTCCCCCTGCACATCCTCATCCCTCTGCTTCCACTCTCCCCTCCCCCTTGGATCCTTATATTCATTCTACAATAATGGTTTAATACGATATTTGTCTTTGTGGGACTGAATTAGTTCACTCAGCATAATGCTCTCAAGTCCCTCCAAAGTCAGGTAATAATTTAAAAATCATTGCTCCTGTTTGCTGCGTGGTATTCCATTGTGTGAATGTACCCTAATTTCTCAATCCATTCCATTGTGGTTGGACATCTAAGCTGTTTGCATGTTCTTGCAATGGTGAATAATGCTGCTATAAATATTGGTGTACTAATCTCCATTTGCTGGCAAAACTGGACTTCTACCTGCAGAAAGTTGAAACAGGATCCACATTTCACACTCTACACAAAAATCAACTCAAGGTGGTTCAGAGACCTGGGAATAAAGCCGAAACCATAAAGATCATAAGAGACAAACTAGCATCAAGCTTCAAAGCACTAGTCCAGTGGTTAGAGAATTTGGCTACCAATCAAAAGCGTGATGGTTCAAATCCAATAGCAAGCTCACTGAAGGAAATAATAACTTTGGGCCCTGGTTTCACAGTGGTTAGAAACACTAGTCTAGGATATAAAGAGACTGCCAAATACAGCCAGAAATGCACAATCTGAAGAAGATAAAATTGATGAATGGGACCTTCTAAAGATTATATCCATGTGTGCATCAAAAACTTTTTCCAACAGGGTGAAAAGAAAATGTACCGAATGTGAACACACATTTGGTAATACCATCTCAGACAAGAGTCTCATAATGAAAGTTTACAGAATACTCCCGGGCCTCCACAAAGAAAAAAACTGATAACCCAATTACAAAATGGGTAAAAGACATGGAAAGAATTTTTATAGAGGAAGATATTTGAATGGCAAACAGACACATGAAGAAATGCTCCAAATCACTGGCAATAAGAGAGATGAAAATCAAATCCACAGTGAGGTATCATCTCATTCCAGCAACAGTGAAAAAGTTTAACAGGGCAAAAGTAATAAATGTCGGAGAGGATTTGGCAAGAAAGGAACTCGTATATGTGTTGGTGGGATTGTAAAATGGTACAACCATTCAGGAAGGCAGTTTGATGCTTCCTCAAATAGCTGAACATCGAAATTCCATATGACCCAGCTATTTCACTACTTCAAAAGCTACATGTTGATGCACATATATTTTCCATTTTTATTGCTTCAAAAATGTATCAACCAATATCTTTAAATTTTTATCTTTTTTGTACAATTATATGAGTACTAAGTTACCTAGTTTGAAGCAGTACTTCTTGTTTACATCATTTGCAAAGAGAAACTGCATGGTTTAACATCAGGAAAGGTGTATGTCAGGATTTTCTCCTTCCACAGTACCTGCTCAGTCTATATGCTGAGCAGATAATCTGAGGAGCTGGACTTCATGGAGAAGAACACAGCATAAGGGTGAAAGGAAAACTTATTGATAACCTGTGATATGCAGATGATACAACTTTGATGCTAGACAATGAAAAAGGCTTGAAATACTTATTAATGAAGTTCAAATTACAGTTTTTCCTTCAACCTAAAGAAAACAGAAATCCTCATAACTGAATTAATACTTAACACAATGACAAACAGAGAAAAGATGGAAGTTGTCAATTTTACTTGGACCTATAATCTTCATCCTCGGAAACAATAATCAGGAAACCAAAGGATGTGCTGCTTTGGACAAATCTGCTTCCTAGGACCTTTTATAAACATTAAAGAGCAAGGATATAACTTTGAATACTAAGGTGCACCTGACTTAAACCAGGGCATTTTTAGTAGCATCATATGCCTATAAAAATGGGACAGTAAATAAAGAAGGTCAAAGAAGAATTGATGCCTTTGAATTGTGATGTTCATGAAAAATGTTGAACGTGCCATGGACGTACTGAGGAATAAGTAAATATGTCTTGGAAGAAGGAAAGCCAGAATGCTACATGGAAGCGAAGAAGGTGACACTTGGCCTTACATTTGTTGGGCATGCTATCAAGCAGGACCAGAGCTTGAAGAAAGACATCTTACTTGTTAAAGAACATGATCAGAGAAAGAGGAAGGCACTCAAATAGATGGATTCACACAGCAGGCACAAGAGTGGACTGATGCACAGCAGGGAGTTTGATGATGCACAAGCAGGCGGTAATTTGTCCTGTTGCATATAGGGTTGCTGTGAGTTGGAGTCACTTTGATGGCACTTAACAATGATGACAACAACTTGATTTGTGTATTAAAAATGACTATACTGTTTTATGGGGAGCTCTGGTAGTTTGAAGCTGCGCCACAACCCCAAAGGTGAGCAGTTCAGGGGCACCAACTGCTCCTTGGGAAAAGGATGGGCAATTTCCTCCTGTGCAATTAACTGCCTCTAAAATCATGCTGGAAGCAGGAGTGGCATCCACTTCTGTAAATAGCTTGCCTCCGGAAACCCTATGAACCTGGAGAAAGGATGAAAGTCACGCATACAAGTGTAGAGAACTTTCATTCATTGGATCACTGTGAGTCACCTACAACTCGACGGTACTTAACAACACAACAACAAAATCATGCTGGAGGGTCAGCTATGGGTTGGACTTAACTCGATGGTACACAAACAACAAAAACAATGTACTATTTTATAGTCATATCAAGATATTTTATATTGGCAAACCTCTTGTTTTTGTTTCACTAAAAGAAAAAAAAATGGCCCTACTCTACCTTTTCATATGTATTTTCCTAGAACTATTGAATTCTATCCTATTAGAATAGAAATTATCTTATCTAGTACACTAGATAAATTCTTGTTACCTACCATTGCTTTTTCCAATTCTTTCAGCTTGACACTGCTGAGTGAGTTCTTCTCTTTTTATTCTCTGACTCCAGCTCTTTGCACATTTTGCTACAATATTTGGCTTTGTCTTCTCAAGTTGTCCTTTGGGACAACTTTGTTCAGCTCTTTTATTCCAGCTTCCCTTTGTTTTGCCTTCTTGAAGCTCTAATGCAGTTTATATAGTTCCTTGTGACATCCATTTTGGCTTTTTCTTTCTCCTCTGCATTTATTATAACCTTTTTCTCTCTGTGTGAATGATATTCTTGATTTCATTCCACTGATCTTCTTATCTTCACTCATTGGTGATGATCAAACCTGTTCTTTTAATTCAGGTGGAATAGATTCAAGGTCATACTTTGCCTCTTGTGGATTTATTTTAATTTTCATCAGCTTCAAATTGAATTTGCACATGAGTAATTAATGGTCTATTCCACAGGCAGCACCTGCTCTGACTACTGATATTGAACTTCTCCAATGATTATTTCCACAGATGTAGTCAAACTGATTTGTGTGCAGACTGTCAAGTGAGGTCCATGTGTAAAGTCACCATTGGTGTTTCTTTAAAAAGGTAGTTGCTTAATTGGGAAGGATGTGTGACTGGTGAGTGTATCCAAGACTGCATCTGTTAATTCAAACAAGTCGATTGGTATCCCATCGATTCCTCGGGCTT